TTCTACCATTGGTAGTGCTTCAGTAGAACTCAGGGCCTCCTTATGCACACTAGGCAAGCACTCTACTACTGAGCTACATTTCCAGCCCTTTAAAAAAATTATTTTGACCCAGCGCTCAAGAGGCTGAATCAGAAGGATCACTGCAAGTTCGAGGCCAGCCTGAACTGCACAGTGAAACCGTCTCAGGAAAAAAAAAATTTTTTCGAGTCAGAGTCTCGTTAAATTGCCCAAGTGTGACCTGGATTTACAATCCTCCTGTCTCAGCCTCTCTCAGTGCTGGGATTACAGGTGTGTGCCCCTCCCCCAGCTCCCATTCCCACGTTCTTATTTGTACTCGATTACTGTACAAAGTGTAGGTGATACCTCATAGTTTCCCTGGGACGAATAAGTGAGATGTGCTGCAAGCTTAGCACCTGGTTTAGAGCAAACTTCCACTCAAGTCAGAACCATGGAAAGGTCCACCATTCCTCTAAAGGATTAGGCTGAGGTCTGGACCACCACCCCCGCCCCTCCCCAGGCAGGGGTAAGAAGTTCGTCTGAGGCATCTCCAGCGCTGCCGGTCGAAAGGAACCTGACTATGTGCTGGAAACCATCTTCCATTTTGTATATACAATATTTACTTGTCTTTCCCTTTAGACAGGGGAGAAAGCCAGGAGGAAACAAACCAAAACATAGTTCGACCATGTAAAATCTGTTGGAGTTCATGCCTCGGCAAGGACATCTCAAACGTTTCAATTCTACCATCTAGTGGACGGGAAAGGAAAAGCCAGATTGGGAGCAAAATAAATTGATTTTTTTCATCAGTGTCTGTAATTTACTTAAAAAAGTGTTTTCTAATTAGTATCATTTCAAATTTCTTCCAAATTAACTTACTGGCCTTTCATTTACTAGCAATCCACTTTCTTTTGTAAAGAGAACAACAATCCAGTATTGTAAATATTAGAGCACTACAACTAAATTTCTTGACAATTATAAACTACGAATTTCAGAGATCATCTGGGGAGGGAAGAGAGAGCGACTGGAGTTGACATCGTTAGGAACTTTCCGAGCAACCTGTAGCGTTGACACGTCCCTCTCTACACAGCGCTCACGTTTATTTTGCCACACAGCCTGGGAGTGGCGCTGAGCTCTGAGGGTGTTGGTTTCCCCCAAATGCTGGGTGAAATCAGTGAGGGACGGAAACTATTCCATTCATTTAAAAAAACGCACAAAAACGTCAAATGTGAAGTAAACAAGATGAATATTTGCTAAAACCTGTGTGCTTGAGTTTGTCATTTGCTGCTGTGTGTACATAAGGGATGACTGAAATAGCGAATGCTTTTTTT